GAGATCCAATTTCCTATATGATTAGTGCGGGGTTCTTTCTTCCTCTTGAATGATACAATTGTTACACAATATTTGAGACATTTTCCTACCGGAGAATGTTATCGGTGCAACCGCGCATAATACGAACCGAGGAGATCGAAGCAGATGGCATCGGCTATGCTAACTACGACAGCCATTCCGATCCAGCTGATAATGGCCGCCCATAAAAATAAGTGGAACTGATACGAGGAATGTTTCATGTCGCCCCGCGAGTCCTTGGCCTCCCGCAGAAGATGATTGAACGCCGTGTTATTGTCGCAAGTCGCCGTGCACCAAGTCCTCAGCTGGCCCCCGCAGACCGGGACGTGCGAGATACCGTAGATAAACGTGCGCAGCCTCACGTCCACGCAGTCCTTCGTCTACAAATTGTTTCGCGATAGAACGTCACTTCCACGAAAGATGGATAGAAAAAAAAGGAAGATTATACAAGTCTCTTACAACTAAATCCTGATACATGTCGAATCCCACGTCGAACTCGAACGTGCTGTTCATGGAAACATTTTTGCCAGACAGCGCTAAGAAGCCACGAGATACTTCTTTGCAAGACAACTGTAAAGATGAGTTTCGTGCGTATTATTTATTAGCTACCAGAGAGAAGATAGTACGCGCGCATTTATACGAACGTGGCAGACTGCGTCGGCGTGGTATTCGTACACCACGCTTCCTAGCACGTCCTTTGAGAATTCCGTCCTCGGACAGATCTCCAAGTACGGCAAATCATTGTCGCAGACGAGAGTGACGTTTGCGCTGCTGTCTAACTCGGGGATGAAGTAAATGGAGAAGAACGCTATCGCCAGCAGGGCCTCGAATAGCAAGAAGAAGGTTTTGTGCAAGCTGAACTTGTCGGCCAGGCTGCCGAACAGCGGCTTCGCGATCAGGCCGGAAATTGGTAATACTGTGTATATCGTGCCGACCACCGTCGCGGAGAAGCCCAGTTGCTTTCCAATAGTTGGCAGAAATTGTACCATCGGCCCCGTCCCTGGGATAAATGCAGCGAATTCAGAAGAGCTGTAGACGAGGCGGCGTCTCGATTGGACTTACCAGCATTGTATAGGAAATAATGTGACTTTATGGGGGCCAATTCCTTGTTCACGTTTTGCAACATGATTCAGGGACGTGCGGTCAGTCGTCTTGTATCTTCAACTTGTGCGCCTTGTACCTGCAAGGAAAAAAAGCAAGCTGTAGCAACATGGCATGTCGCGCGACGCAGCTTTAAACAACACTAGGAAGCAGAAGTGCTCTGGATTCTCGCAATATCCTTCTCGCGTTTCCTCGTCCGTAGATGAAAAGCGCACAAACTCCGACCATTCGTTTCTAGCAACGTAAATGAGCTTATTTGATCCGGATTTAATTTACCTCTCACCTCTGCCTAGTTCTAACAATTAGAAGAGGATACATGAGCGAGATTAACGTCGACCTACATTGATAAAAGTGGACGTTAATCGGTCGTTAACTCATCAAGCCGCACTCATTAGCACGGATAGACTAATTAGCCTTTTAGCTATTGAACGCGCGGGACAAATCCGATCGAGGGCAGTGAATCAGCAAGAATCGCTCGCTGCAAAACTTTTTTGGCCGAGTTGAAGCCGCGGTACGTGGAAAAGAGAGAGAAAGAGAGGAGTCGCGCGAATCACAACGCGAGTATCTACGTGCGAGGCGGGCGGTCCCCAGCGCCGACGCGAGGATCGTTGAGGACGAAGACTCGTACCTCGGGCGCGAATACTCGCGGAAGCTAGACCAGTCCTCGGGGGTGGTGCAGCATCCCGCGCGACGCTTAACCAAGTTCGCGCACGTTGCCCGAGCACTTTGCACTTCGCTCGCGGGCTAACGGGATCGTCCCGGTCCGATCGCCGTTTTGCCGCCTGCGTATCGCAACCGCGATGCGCGGAGCACTTGACTCGATATCGCGTGAATCACAGATAAGTCGGCCTCGCTTGGCGCTTCTCTCTCTCTCTCTCTCTCTCTCTCTCTCGTGCGCTTCCCGCTCCGTCGGCCCGTTACGCAACGGAGGACTCGGCGCGTGCACCGTCAATCGTGCCGGCCTGCCAGGTTACGAGGCGCCGCGTCGCGCTTGACCGCGTCCGGAGAGACGCTGTTAGCGCTGAAAGCGCCAGTCTTACCCTTCGTCACTCACTGTATGTCGAACAAAGATAGAAGACTCTTAAAAGACGCACCTACCGCGCGACACGTTCGAACACTTCGAACGCGCGGCGACACGCGCGCGTCTCGTGTTTTTTTTCGGTAGCTTCCCCTTCCCCGCGGCGGTTTTGGATTGCACCGCCGTCAGCTGTCTTGCTTCCGGCCTCCGGGCTAGCGTGTGAATCCGTTCTTCTTGACACGTGCCACGTGTAATTTAACGCGCTGCTCGCTACTATACGTTGTTCACGCGAGAATGACATGTCATTTTTTTTACAGACATTTCGGAAAAAAAGAGAATCATACTTAATAATTTTTCTTGTTGCGGAGTCTCGTGTTGCAATGTTAGAGTCCTTGATGTGTCTCGCTGGCGAAGGAAGAGGTCAATTATTGTATAACAAAAACTGCGTCGTGTCATTTTTCGAAAGCTTTTCATGAAATCGAGCGTACAACTTGCGTACAACGCTCAGTTCTTACCAGTGCACAGGGTTGGGAAGTAACTCGTTACTTGTGACTATAGGACTGGCCATTTCCTTCGACATTTGAACTTTCGAAGCTTCGAAAAATTCATTCGTGCGAGCGGCGAATTCATTTAAAGAACACTAAAAATATTATAAATAAAAAGTACTTATTTATATATATTGAAAAATAGGCAATTACTTCTGAATTATAATTATGAAGTATTATTTTTATTATTTTTAACATATATAAATAAGTACTTTTTATTTACAATATTTTTAGTGTTCCTTAAATAAATTTTTCGAAGCTTCGAATCTTCGAAGTTATCAAATGTAACCTACCTGTAACGAAGTTATAGTTACAGTTACTTTTTTTTTGGTAACTCTATATAACTTAACTTTGTTACTTTATCTCCATCTGCAACTGTAATTTAACTTAACTCGGTCACATTTTTTCAATAACTGGTAACTAATTTGATAGTTACATTAAGAGTTACTTCCCAGATAGCACACTGAATTCACAAAGTATTCTTTAAGTTTTCTTTTTTCTGAATTGTAATTCTTTAGGAAATCATAGAAGAATACAATGAGAGTGACAGAGGAAGTTACATGCACCATAAATCGTTTTCCTGACAACTTCTTAAAGTATTCATCTCGAATTCAATAAATGTAAACTTTATGAATTCAAGGGGAATAGTGTTAGAACAAAGAGGATTACAAAATATTTACCCAATGTATGTACATTATATCTAATATGCAGTAACATTACACCATTATTATAATTTCTCACTCAACAGTGAGATACTCTCAACCGAAGCTCGTTGACAATCGGATGATTCTTCCGTTTCGGTTCTCGTCGTTCGATTCTTTCTTTTACACAATAGAACTATTGCACAAAATTAATTGCACATAACGTTACGCACACAAAATATTGCACGTGGTAACACGCTGCACAAGAACGTCCGGATGGCGGTTAGCGGATACTCGCGCATGACAAATAATTCCTCATAAATTCTTAAAGTATTCACAGTACTGAATCGCGAAGTGTTCATTATAATGAACTTCAGAAGAATACTTCAAGACGAATTGATTGAGACTAATTCTTCAAGAATTCTTCAGATGTTTATTTTTCTAATTCTGTATGTTTTCTTTAAAATGAATTCTCTATGAACTTATGTTCATCTTTGTGCTATCTGGGTTTATATGTATTTTAAACCTCCACAGATTGCATTAGGCCTTACATTTGCGCATAAACGCCTTTATCGACACTTTACAATTCAAATGCAGAGTATTTTTATTTTCATTGCGAGAAAGTAACTGCAAAGTAACGATTCGTTATTTTTTGAGTAACCGTAGCTGTAACGCGTTCAGAATTTGTAACTTGTAACTGTAACTAGATACTTTTATAAAGTAACTGTCCCAACTCTGCCAGTGCAGATAAACTGTAATCTCGGTTTAAATTACTTCTCATCTTCTTCTAATACGTTATTCAAAAACGACCTACACTGCCGAATGTTTTTATTTAAAAAACAAACGACGTTTCGGTCCCGGACCCTTATTAAGTTAATCTGCAAACGTACATAACTAAATAAAAAAAATATATAATTATAGCGAAAGTAAATTGCAAATCTATACCTTTTCACACAATTGTTGGTGATCTCATATTATTCGTTTGGCCAATATCGTTATGTTAATAAGCTGCGTACAAGCAAGAGTCATTACACTTTACATTGTTACGAATTAATAAATGTCAAGAGTGAATAAAGATAAATAAGAATAAATAGGAACAAACATGAAATAAATAAGTAAATACACTTACATATTGGTAAAAAAATGATTGCACTCCTTGGTTGAAATATTTACTGTTAAGTTATGTACGTTTGCAGACTACTTGAAAAGGGTCCAAATCCGGGACCGAAACGTTGTTTTTTAAATAAAAAACATTGGCCAGTGTAGGTCGTTTTTGAAAAACTACATATCATTGGATATAAAGCAAGTTGAGCCGCGATTAAAGGTAACTGCCCGCGTTGGTAGAAGCGGGCATCAGACAGCGCAAAGAATACAGCGAGTCTTTTGCATTTTCAAATGACGAAATGAGTAATAGCGAATTCGGCAGCTTGCACTAGTTTTAAGGCTTGTGAATTGTTATATTTTAAGGATCGTCTTAAATACGCAGAGCAGTCGTTTCGGCATTTTCCGAGCCGAGGCCAAGGCCCGGTTTCACCGACGTCGATTTAACTTCAAGCTTAGCTTAATTCGTTTCTTTCCAACTGTTACTCTAGAGACAGACGTGAATTAAACCAAGATCGAAGTTGAGCAACGTCTGGCGAAACTGGGTCCGAACGGACCGCCCTGTATAGGAGGAGGAACGCATATCGGGCGATAGCCGTTATCACGGGTATAAAGTTTGCGATTTTGTAACAAACTGCGCTTTAATTTGTCATAGATACATTTACAATATACATTTACAATATATATGTATATATTTATAAGTTTCAATACCGCTTCTCCTCCCGACGAATACTCTGCCTCGACGATAAAGATGAGTTTAATGGGTGTAACGACGATAGCGGCGTATTATGGTATATTTCGTCTTTTGTTTCTTATTCCGCACATGGGGCTTATACACATATATTTCTGCTGATCTCTCGTTATACTATTATATGCCTCTCCCGACAAAAAGAAAACAAAAACCATGCCTCTTTCTCTTCCAAACGAGGATTCGACTCGTCGCGATCCTCTTCCCGGGTCTTTGCACAGATCCCACGTTCGAGATCCCCTCATTGAAGATTCGAGCAAATCGTCATCTACGCGAGATATGTGTTTCATATGTATATATACAAAGAAAGCCTAACTCCCTTACGTGCTAGGTCCCTTACGACGCTAGGTAATCTACATAACGTACACCAGCAACAGAGCGCGCTCGATTAATTATTATACACAAAAAAAATCCTCGGTCTCCCAGGCGGGAGTTCCTCCTCTTCTACAAGTTCGACGATTAATTCGCTAGCGGGCCGAGCGGGAGGATCGACGGGGGAGGAGCCCGACGGCTAAACGACACTCGGCCAATTGTGGACCCGAACGGCGGAGATGCAGATAGGGAGGACGCCCGTCGTCGGTTCAATTAACAACGCAAAATACTTCAATATTGCAGGATCGCCGTGTCCCGAAGCACACGCACGCGCGTGTGCCGACGAGGAACTCGCGCGTCCGTCAACGCGGATCAGCAAGACGCACCTAGCGAGTCAACAATGCGCGCAAACGGCGGTGCGTCGTCGCACAAATATACGTTTATACATTGTTTATCCGCGGAGATTACCTTGTCCGACGCTCGCGCACGCAGGAACTTTTGATAGACAATGCGGATTGACTTAGAGCTACTGAATCTGCCGGTTAATCTCGCTTTAGAAAACTATCAAAAATTCCTATATCGAAAGTAGACCCTTATGTACATGTAGAAGCTCGGCTTCCCTCGACGAACGGTGTAAAAGTGTCAAAGCTACTCGAGTTGCGACGGTCGCTCGTGAGAAGGAAGTTGCGGTCAAATAAATCTACAAACGGTCGTTCATCTAATACTCCGTAGAGAGCCTCATGGGTACGCACGACGGTCAATTACGTAAAAAAAAGAAAAAAAAGAAAAAAAAAGGAGAAAAGACAAGTCGCGAGGAGGATGTCCCTTGTGAATAAAATAGAAAATTGACAAAACAAGGGCATACTGCTCTCTCTCTCTCTCTCTCTTTCTCTCTCGCGCGTCTCGCCAAGAGATTTTCGATTAACACTTGGTATTCCTCAGGAGCCCAAACGATCACGTCGTTTCGAGATCCGCGAGAAGGCTGATCTGTCATCATCGAATCACGGACCGATCTTGCAGCGATCTTAGTGGCTAAAGCCAGGACGGTCGGTGATGCGGCGGCTGGAGGGTGTAGAGCGAGTGGAGGTACTGCTGGTAGGCGGCCTGGTCCATCAGGTTGGGCCCGTGGCTGTGCGCGACGTAGGCGGAGACCGGCGGGACGTAGGGCGATCTCTGGGCGAGGAACGAGTGGGGCGGCGGGTAGTTCCTGGGTGGTTGGTTGCCGAGTTTGTTGCAGGCGGTCGGTTGACCCGAGGCGCTGCTCACCGTCGGCGGCACCATCGGCGGCTGCGGCGGCTGCTGCTGCTGCTGCTGTTGCTGCTGCTGCTGCTGCTGACGCAGGGCCATGTTGTAGTAACTGCTCGGATTGCGGAACTCGTCCGTGAGGAAGGCGAGTGCGGCCGCCGCGGTGGCGTCCTTGTCGTAGGGGAAGGGCGGCGCGTGGCCGGCGGTCGCGCCGCTCGCCGAGGCGGCGAAGTTGAAGGCACTACCTGCGGGCGGCGGTACCGTCTTCAGGGCGCCGATCGACTCGGCCGCGGTCGCGGCCGCGTACTGCGGGAAGGCAGGCATCCCGGCGGCCGTTTGCTGCTGCTCGGCGCTCGTCGCCACGGCCGTCGCCGTCATGGCCGCGCTCGGCTGCTCCTGCTGCTGCTGCGGATGCTTGCTCTTCCGGCTTCTCTTCGTCTTGGACGGCGTCGCGGCGACGGGGGTCATCGCGGCGACGGGTGTCGCCCGCACGTCGCCCTCGCCGGATCGCCGGGATATCGCGAGGATACCCTGGCTGGTCTTGGCCGCGCTCTGCAGGCTCTGCAGCAGGTTGAGCTGCTCGAGCTCAGCGGGGCTGGGCGCGGCGCCGCGCCCGTAAGCGGCGAGATGCTCCGTCTTCGAGCCGGGCGGCGGTCGCGGGATCGTCAACAGCTGCTGCTGCTCCTTGCTCGTCGGCCGGCCCACCAGGCCGAGGCTCAGCCGCGCGTACGGCGAATTGCTCGCCATGGAGTCGGCCAGGCCGCCGACGAACGGCGTGCCGTCGAACTGACTGACCGACACGGCCTCCGGTTGCGGCAGGCCCATCATCGGCTCGAAACTCGGGAACTGCTCCTGACCCGAACGCGTCACCGCGCTCTCCTGCGGTAGACCGCGCGCGCCCGACTCGCCGGGCGGCGGCTCGTACGCGCGTTTCTTCATCGGCGGTGGATTGCCGGAGGAGCCGCCAGACGCGGCTCCACTGCCGCCGGTGGACTTGGAGCCGGGGTCGAAATAATGCGGACTAGGATACACCGGCCTCGAGTTCGGCGGCGGTAGCGAGTAGGCGGACGGCTGGAAGCCGCTCGGGTAAAGCGGCTCGTGGGCCGTCGTCAGGTTCTGCTGGAACGCCAGCAGTTGCGTCTGCTCCGGCGCGGCCGCGGGCAATTGATCACCGCTGCCGGACGGCGCCTTGCCGAGGAACCCGCGCGGCTGGATCTCGGTGAAACCGGCCCGCGAGTCTTGCGGCGCGGATTGCTGTTGCTGCTGCGTCTGCGGCTGGCCGCCGTGCCTCGAGGCGGACCTCTGAAGCTCGACGTTGGGAAAGCTGTTCGGATACGTTGGCGGGTATTGACCCGCCGACTGGTAGATCTGATGATTCGCGTTCAGGTTCAACGATTCCGACTGAACGGAGAAGTTCCTCTGCTGATCGCCCGTTGTCACGGGCTTCTCGGTAGCGTTGGGCTTGAGATACTCCGCCCGGTGTTCAGTCTCGTTCACGGACGAGGATATCGTGGGCGACTGCTGAATGTACGTGGGATTTTGCTTGAAGTCCTGGGGATAACTCGCAGACAGCGCCGTTGCCTGAGCACCGTATTCCTCCGAGTTCTTGGACGACTGAAGCTGGGAGTAATTGGCGGCCTGTTGCGGAGAGGATTGCGAGTAGCCGGGCGACTGTTGCGGCGGCTGCACGGGATTGCACGTGGACTTTTGCTGGGGGGAGGATTGTGGATAATTGCGCGACTGCTGAGGCGACGGTTGCGAGTAATTCACCACCGCCGCCGCCGCCGCCGCCGCCGTCGCCGCCGGTGCCGTCGCCGTCACCGTCCCAGACACCTGTTGCGGCGAAAGTTGCGAGTAATTTGGTGGTGTCTGCGGCGAGTGCAGCGGATGCGAGTACGTTGCCGACTGCTGGGGAGACGACTGCGGGTAATTGGTCAGTGGCTGCGGCGACGACTGGGAATACGAGCTGTTCTGCGGCGACGCCTCGGAGAACGGGGACTGCGCTTGCGGCGAGTGCTGGGGGAAGGTCTGGATCTGCTGGTGCGACGACTGCGAGTAACTCCGGTCGTGTTGCGGGGCCGGATAAGAGCTTGGTGGCTGCGGCGACGACTGGGAGTAGTTGGCGGGCCGTGTTTGCGGCGACGACTGCGGGGAGAAGCTCGGCGGCTGAGGGGGCGGCTGCACGTACGCGCTGGGTGGTTGGGGCGAGGGCTGCGAGTAATTCGCAGGCGGCGGCTGCGGCGACAGACGGCTGTATCCAGCGGGCTGCTGAGGCGAGGACTGTGCGTACGGGGAGTGCTGTTGCGGGGACGGCTGCGAGTAATTCGGCGGCGTCTGAGGGGAGGACTGCGAGTAAGGGGAGTGCTGCTGCTGCGGAGAAACCTGCGGATAACTGGCGACCGCCTGGGGCGAGGGCTGAGAGTAATTAGCGACCGCGTTCTGCTGCGGTGACGGCTGCGAGTAACTCGGGGTGGATGGTTGCTGCGGCGATGGCTGCGAGTAATTCGACGGCGGTGTCTGGGGCGACGGCTGAGGATACACCGGCTGCATCGCTTGCGGGGAGTGTTGCGGATAAACGGGCGATTGATTTTGATTGCCGGCGGGTAACTGTTGCGGGAAACGTTGCGGAGACATCTGCGGATACGGCGGCTCGCTGGCGTTGTCCTGAGGCGAGGATTTCTGATACGGCGACTGATACGGCGGCTGCGCGTGTACCTGAGGATAGACGGGCGGTGGTTGCTCGTAAGGCGACGGATAAGCCGGGGACAACGGATGATTCTGCGGCGACGGGGTGGGCGGCAATTGCGCGCTGTATCTCGGTGGGGTCGCGTAATAGGGACTGTTGTAGGGGCTGCTACCGGTCGACAACGCGTCCTGATAGAAGCCCGCGCCCCTTATCGGCTCGGTCGGGGCTATCACGGGCTGGCACTGCGGGGAATGCGCTGCGCGCGGCGCCGGTGGCGATTCCTGGGAGAAACTCGACACCGATTCGCTGACGCTGCTGCCGCCGGTGCTCAGCCGTCGTTGCCTGCCGCAAAACGACTCCTGCGAATCCCCGTCCTTTTTTATCATCGTCGCCTCTTCCGCCTCCTCGTCCTTCTTTTTTGATTTCGGCGCTCCAAAGGCTTTGAACCAGGCACTCAAATTTGGCGTCGCGGACTTCGGTTTCTGCGCCTCTTCCGTACCGGATCGAGCCGCGTCCTTCTCCTCCGCCGTGCCTGACGCTTTCGTGGCTTCCTTCGCGCTCCCCCCCGTTTTCTCCTCCTTCACATTGGACGCTTGTGTCGCAAGAGAGTGATCCTCTTCCTCGTCGTCGTTCGACAAATTCGGATTCGGCGACGACACCAGACTCTTGCAGATCAACTGGATGGAATCCACGTTTTTCAGCACAGTACCTAAACTGAGCTTCGGCTCCTCGTCGTTATCCTTGTTAGACTGATCGTTATCACTAGTAGAGCTCGCGGCATCATTGGCATTGGTGCTGGGCGCGTTAAGCGGTTTCTTCAGAAGTAAATTCCCCTTGCTTTTACCGGGCTGCAAACGATCGATCGTGCGCTGTATCTTCTTCGGCCTATTCGGTCCATGAGGACCAAATATCTTGATGGAACTTGGTCTCTTTCGCACAGCCTCGACTTTGGATCCTGGTCGATTAGACTCGATGGAAGAGGTGTGAAGCACTGGCGAGTCACTGCCAGACGAGAATCCCGAGAGTCTGGGCGCGTCGTCAAGCCACTTGTTAATATCCTGTCGCACGTAATAGATCAAATCAATAATGCATACGATTCACAGAAAGTGAATAAAGCGAAAAGAAAACTGAATCCCCCGTATTAAGATACAAGAGAATTCAAGAGCAATAATCTTGTTGACAATGTGATTTTGCAATTCAGAATATACACAGAATTATCGATACATTAATTAAAGATAGTCGAGACATAGTTTACAATTTAAAAATATTAGTTTCTCTTTGGACACGTGTTTTCCATTTCTTTAAAAAAAAATCCAGAATTGCATTAAACATTAAAAAATAAGAAATCTTGAAATAATCTTGAAAATAGTATCTTGCAAGCTTACATGAAGTGTTTTCTCCGTCGCTTGGTTTAATGCTTGAATCGCAGGACTCTCTTCGGCTCCCAATCCTTTGGTATGTTTAGCATGAGTGCTTTTTTTATTTTCACTGATTTCCGGATCGTGCTTCTTAGTCCCGTCATCCGCAACCTTATCTTCCTTCGTACTTTTCTTCGACTTTGATCGCTTTGCACTAGTTTCTTTATCATTGTCGTGGAAAGTACTACTGTTTGAAGGCACTTTTTTTGAATAGACACCATGAACGTCACCTTTCGCTTTTCTTTGCTTCTCTTTCTCATTCTTTAATTTTTCCTCTCGTCTTCTATCGCTTATCTTATCTTTTAAACTATCAAGCGAGTCTACGTCTTTATTACCAATGAATGTGGAGATTTTCTTGGAGATGTGGGTATGTTTGGAGTCTAAAACAGTTTCTAACTCTACATCTTTGGGATCCTTTTGACTTTTTAATTCTCCATTCTTTAATTCCTCGTTCTTTTGTTTTGATTTCTTATTCTTTTGCTTCATGTGGCCCTTGTCGGACTTTTCGTCAGACTTGGTTACAGTCTTCAAATTCGACTTTTCTTTCTTACGGCTCTTTTTCGTTTTGACATGGGAAGATTGCTTCTTGCTCTCTTCGAATACCGTGTCACTTTCTTCCACCTCAATCTTTCTCAACTTGCTTTTCTTCGCGTTGTCTATCAATATCGCAGTTTCTTCAAGTTCCTTCTTTTCTATCTTTCTACTTTTACTCTTCGCAATTACCGGAGGTTCGTAATCTTCCTCGAAATTCTCCTTTCGTTTCTTGTTCTCCTTCGTTTCTTTGGCAGACCGTACAATTTCTGAGTCTTTTTTCGACTGATGCCGCTCTTTGCTCGCCTTTTTATTAGACGCTTTTAATTCTTCCGTTTCCTTCGATAGCTTTTTGGTTTTAAGTAAACTATTTACATCAATATTTTTTCTTCTCTTCGACGTCACGGTACTAGTCTCGGATATTGAATCCTCGCTTTCCCGATCTTCCTGCTCCTCCTCATCCTCGTCCGATTCCTCCTCTTTCACCTTTTTCCCTTTTTTCTTTCCCCTCTTCTTCTTCGCAACTTTAATACTTTTGTTTCTTTTTTCATCCTCGTCCACCTTTTCGTTACTCTTAGACTTTGCTTTACTTTCAGGTTTATACGACTTGGACTTTTTCGTTGATTTTTTCGAACGTTTTCGTGCGTTATGGTGCAAAGACGATAAATGACGCGAGGGATACGATAAAGACGTAGGTGATCCGGCCAGTGACGGAGGCGATGTAGGATCTTCGTCACTGGACGTTTCCGATTCCAAATATCGACTCACGGCTTTGTCGAAGGCTTCCTTAAGATTAACCGCCATATCCGTGTATTCTGGAATACAAAAAACGTGTCATGAGCTTAGCCGCACACAGTACAATGCAATCCCTAAAATAAATATATGCAAACGATTTAAAAGCATCACGAACCGTTATCAGAACCATTGTACTGTCTGCAGTTGTCGACGATAAGTCGAAAGTCGCGCTTAAACTGACTTAAATTCTTATACGAGCCATTCTCCAGCTTCTCCTCCATAGTTTTCAGATCCATTGGCCTGCGTACCACACTATAGTACCTGTAAAGATTATTCGCAATATATTATTGAGAACTCAATAACGGATATAAGTAATTAGTCGTGGTTTCAAAACTGTGGCATAAACTTGGTACCTTGGCGCATAGTCCTCATCCACCGGCTCAATAAATGGCCAGGCGTCCACGTGATCCTTAATACTTTCGAGAACCTTGTGCATACCGACGCAACGCTCCTCCTCTTCGATTCCGAACGAGTAGCCGTACTTGTAGCCGTAGTTACACGACACGTAATTGCCATCGCCGTGATTACCGACGCCTTTCTTCTTCTTCTCCAGGTCCTCTACCTCATCCCTGGTGTGAATTACGATCTGGCCGACAGCCGAGGCCAGAGAGTTGTTCGTTTGCCGGCCCTTTTTCTGGACCGGTGGAGCCGGTAGCGGCGGAGTGGCGTCCTCCTTAATATAAGATTTCGATGCTTGGGTCCCTTTCTTAGTCCCTTTGGTCGTTTTAGTCCTGATCTTGGATCTGACCATGACTGCGTCCATCTGTGTAGCAGGTTCCTGGCTACGAAGCACTCGCGAGCTATTACGTTGTAATAGCTTACGTCGCTGCTGTTTCTCTTTCAGATCAAACAATTTCGGTATTTCCGGCATGAAGTCCTCGGACAACGTGCGATAAAGCTTGCGTTCGGTGTCGTATTCCTAGGCGAATAAACACACACAATTTTATTTCCAATTTCACAACAATGTGTATACACGGTGTCCTTGAATGGTCTGTACAAACTTTCGGAATAAGTTCCAGGGACCCAAACAAGGCAGAAATGTCCCGTGAACATGGGGTCGGAAACGCTTGCTTCTGGAGTTACGACGTTTCGAAGTTCTCTACAATGGCTGGAGAAATTATCGCGTCAAATCGCACAGTGTTACAAAGTTTATTTATTTCCTTGGTTTTTTGCCACGGACATAACAGGACAGTAGTACACGTGCTACAGGGAATGTTCGAAATGGCCTCCGTTAAGTCCCAAGGAAACCTGCGCACGTCGTCGCACTGACTGGCGAACCCATTGGAAAATACCTGGTGTATTACGGATTGTGTCGCAGCCGTCCACGATCCGCTGGCGACGAGTTGCTACGTCTGGTACCGAGATAGAATAAACAGGGGTTTTCAGTAAATAAACTTTGTAACACCTGTGCGATTTGACGTGAAAATTTCTCCAGCCATTCTAGGGAACTTCGGAACGTCGTAACTCCAGAGACAAGCGTTTCCGACCCCATGTTCATGGGACATTTCTGCTCGTTTAGGTCCCTGGAACTTATTCCAAAAGTTTGTACAGACCATTCGGAGACACCCTGTATATAAAAAAATTTTGTACAGAAGAGGAAGCGGTCTTTACCGAATCGCGAAATTTTTCAACCAGCCTGCTCCAATCTTGCTGAGTGAAGCAAACAACCTGCCAAACGCTCTCGCGCCCGTTGCTCCCGCTGTTTATTAAACTAGCTTCCTCCTTCTCTTCCTCTTCCTGTTCCTCCTTCGCCACTCGGTTCCGTCGTTTCTTACGCTTTCTGTCCCTTGGCTTACTTTTCTGCTTGTGTGAGGCACTGTTAGAAGTAACAACGTAGTCCTCCCGGTACAGTCGAGTGCCGTAGAAGTACCAGTAGGCAGAATTCTTACGATCATGTCCCAAAGGTTCGACTCGCAGGCTGTCCGAGTCCAAGTTGCTCAACGACTGCTCCTGTTATTAGTTTCACGTTTATTCGACCGTCGGAGGGAGCTGCGCGCGTGTGTAAAATTACTGCGGCAACTCGAATACGTACTACGTCTTCGGCGTCGAGCCTAAAGTCACAGAGCGCGCGTAGTATCTCTACCTTCTGACGAAGCGGTAACAATTCGAAGTCTACGTCCGTATTGAAAGGATTTTCGCACTTGTATTCCTGCGCAGAGACGTGCGGGCGTTTTAGTCGCGATTTACCACATCGGGTGCGGGAGCGACGAGGGGAGTTTTACAAGGTGCGCAACGGCCGAGACCTGGCATACGTACTTGACATTTCTTCCGAAAGAGTCTACGCAGAAACATCTGATAATTAAAGGTGGAGATGTCATTGCGGGTGTCATTTGGCAAGCAACCCTCCAGTAACTTTACTATCAGTTCCTGAAGCAGCCGTCCTTCGGTACCGCCGTCCGTCAACAAAGCCTCTTCCAGATCCTAGAATTTTAAGCGACGTTAACATCGGGGCGGCCTCTCGCGATTACAGCGACGTGAAGAAGAAGAGAACAAAATGCTGTACAAGCCAAGAAATAATATTATAAAGCTGAAGCGTGACAGCGTGTTTCACTGCCGTAAAAATGCTTGAAGCGGTAACTAACGGGCTTTAACGTACGCTTGCTTACTCATTAGAGAGCTCGCACTTGATTAGATACCTCAATATCAAAATCCAGAAGATTGAAGGCAGCTCTAAATAATGAGCAAAAGTGTGCTATACTTGGCACCTCCCACCACGATTGAATGTCTAAAAAAACAAAGGAACAGTTAAGAGTTCCTTCATCTTAATCCTGCTATTTGAAAATAATGGACGCAAATTGTACCAGTTTCTTTGTCAGACGAGCCGTACTGATCAATCTCAGGCCTGGCCTGCAACGAGTTGTCAGAACTACACGTCGCTTCTGTTGCTTTCACCCAGAAAGAAAAAGGATCGACACGCAGTTCCAACTTCTGACTAAGGCTAAAGCCTGTCGCGCATTGCCAGCCAACAGGCAATGGGAATAGGGAGTAGAATTTTCTTAAACGTTGGACTCGTCGGAAATTCTCACCCAACCAATCCAACGTCAGAAATTCTACTCCCTGCTCCTGTTGCCTGCCATTGTGTTTGGGCCTTAATATTTGTCGTACGACAAATTGTTCAAGTGTGTCGACTAGCCGCGGGATAGTGAAACTCTCGAGTATCTAGAAATCTTCTATCCCGCAGCCAATCACGACGAGTGTAACGTTAGCCTGACAACCGACAACTCATTGTAGACCTAAGTCGTAGAACAATATTTTCCACTTGGACTACATCGTTGAAGGGTTGACTTTCCAAAATATCCTCTTAAGGCCTGTGTCCACGATGCTAGAA